CTATATGTTAGGAGAGTGCTATTGTTCTCTCTGGGGGACAACAGAACAAACAGAGAGCAAATAGCTAGCTCACTTTTTTGAAAATAATAGTTTGGGATTTGTGGGGAGGCATATGAATGATCAACACCAAACACAATCCAATCAGCGGTTGTTCATTCTTCCAGCTTTCCAGGTATGCCTTTCACATCATTGGTTTAATCTACTAGCCATTTACGAGGTTTTAATCGCCCACGAAGTCGTTGGACGACGTTTGGGAGGGAAACAAGGGTGAATATCTCACCCCTGTTTTGGTTAGTACATCTGCATTAAACTATGATGATGTTTGGAAGTGTGGACGTTTTTTGGGGCCAATTTTTAAGAAAAAATGTCCATACTTGGAATACCCGTTTTAAAAAAAAAAAAAAAAAAACGCTTCTGCCATGTAGGCAGTGAGCAACACTATGCTGTTTGGTAATGTAATTTTCATCACCATTTTTCATGTATATACTGATAGGTAAGCACCACATAGGATACACATCAGTCAACCGTTGGGGGAAACGGTTCACCGATGCATGAAATGCCAAATTACATCGGTGGGGTCCCGATTTACAAAATATGCCTGATTTTTCAATAAACACCTGGGCGTTTGTTGAAATGCCTATATTGATCCAACCTGGTACCGTTTTTTTTGAAAAATGGCCACAATTCCAAACATCCCCATATATGTTGTCAGGTTAGGAAAATGAGTTCAATGGGATGGATTTTGGGCAGCCGCTCCAAATCCAATTCCAAACTCACTATTTAAACTTATAAGTTAGTTCACCTTTAGTCTAATCACACCGATCCAGTTCTTTTTTAACAAGCCAGTCCATTTTGTTTAATTGATTTTGGTTCGTTTTTAGAACCGTTCCAGTCCAACCAGATTAATAAATGAATTAACTAATAAATTACTAATGAATGAATTAATAAATAAGTATATTACAATAATCTATAATTAATATTTTAATTAGCGAGGCAATAATTAATAAATTAGAACAATTAAAGCATTACTATTATTGATAAATTTATTATTTATAATTACTAACCAACCATATTCATTTAAATTTACAAAAATAATAATATTAATTTCTGAAAATAAACACAAATAATTAATTTATTAATAAATTACTATTAATGTTTTTATCAATAAATCATTATCAATAATTTCTAAAAATTTTAGTATTTGATTGTTGGTAAATGATATTGAAATAATTACATTTCTAAAAATTACAATTATGATTTCAGATAATTATAAATTATTGATCAATTTCATTCGAAAATGAAAGATAGTTTAGTGTAGATTTTGGAAATTATGGATAATTTATTGATTATTTAATAGACTACTGAAATGATTGAAAATTTATAGATTATTCAAGCAATAAATAATTATTGAAAACTAATAATTAATTATTCAGAAAAATAGCATAATTCTCATTATTACATTTTCAGAAAATTATTGATTAATTTTAATTGAAAATAACAGATAAGTTAGTGCAAATTTGGAATTTTATGACATTTTTTAATTTTTGGAATATTATGGAAAATTATTGTAATTATTGAAAATTTATAATTATGTTATCATAATTTATAATTATTTAATTTTTTATTCTTATCAACGTAATTACAATTATTACACTAAAATAATTGTTTGTAGTTTAACTAGCTAATTCCTTTTTTTCATAATCTCAAACTGTAATTCCCATTATCTAATAATTTTTGAAAAATTAATAATAGAAAAAACTGTGAATCTTGATTTAAAATAATGGAAATTAATAATAATAATTATTGTTACATAATTAAAAATTTTCTATTTTGTATCAATTCCAATAATGTAAGTATTAAATTACACAAATTTCCATTATTTAAAAATAATTACTACAGAATTATAAATTACAATAAAATATGTTATTTGAAATTACTGTAATTACAGTAATTTTGAAATACAGAAATTCCAATAATAATTATTAGTGTAATAATTACAGTTTGTTTCAAAATAATTTTATAACACTAATAAATCTTATTGGAATTTTATTGTAATAATTCAACTACAATAATTATTGTAATGAAAATTTTATTTCTAATTACAGATTTGCTTTTCATATTAATTTTATTACAGAAATAATTATCTTTGAAATTTTAGTGTAAATTATTATTTTACCGAAATTTATAACAATAATTATTATAGGAATTTTATTGCTGATAATAATTACAGTAATAATTATCAGTGAAATTTACATTTTCAGAAATTTATAAATGTATTTTTATTAGTATAATAATAATTTTTAAATTACATTATTTATTATAGTAAAATTTGTTATTCTCAAAATACTGTAATTACTATAATTTTGAAATAACTGTAATTCCAATAATAATTACTAGTGTGGTTAAATTACTTGTTTTTCAAAATAATTATTACACTAATAATTATTATTGGAATTTTAGTGTAGTAATTAAATAGAGTAATCATTATCATATATATTTTACTATAGTTAAAATTTCTTAAAATTAATTTTATTACACTAACAATTAAATTGTGTTATTTTCCAGAAAAATTACTAGAAATCAATAAATATGCAAAATTTTCAACCAATATTTTTATTTAAAAATGGAATTTAAAATTAATTAAAAATTTAAAAAATTGGAAAATAGTCAACAATTATATCTCTAGGAAAGAATTGGTGGAGTTTGCAAATTTTCAAACAAAATATCATAATTGGAAAATTTTGGAGAAGAAAATAAAAAATATATTAATGTAATTTTGGAAAATTTCTTTAAAATGCAGTAAATAATTATTGGAATATTTTGGAAATTTGGGAAATTTTATTACATTTGATGGATTTTGGAAAATTATTTAAAAATTGTGTGATTTTCATTTTAAATTATTAAAGATAAATTAGTATTGGTAAAGGAAAATGGTAATTTGAACCAATAATTACACAAATTATTTCTGTTATTAATATAAATTATTATAATATTGGAAATTTTAGAAAAGGAAATTATTAATTAACTTATATTGAAAAAATAAAATATAAATTGGTGTAATTTTGTAAATAATATATTTAAAAAGAGAATAAATTATTTAATATATTAAAAAATCAATAGTTTAGTATACTTTTGAAAATTTACCAGCAGCCAACATTCAATATATCCTTTTTATCCTTTTACCAACAAATTAGACATTGGGTTTTCCCGTGCATCGCACGGGTCCTCTGCTAGTAAAGCTATATGTAGATTCAACCCACTATAGTAAAACTGAAACAAAACAAGATAATTCCTTTGTAAGCTGTATATACATTTTTAACAAATGTTAGGATTGGACCCCTCTAATTATTTGGACCGGTTTTGGATTGGACCCCATCCAAACCAAAATCAATTTGGACGGATTGGATAGACCAACTAGACATATTGAATTGGATCAATTCAGATTTAATGGTCCAAAGTATTTATTAGATTGGATTGGACCTGGTCCATCCACGATGGATTTATATTGGATTGAAGCAATATCTGGTCCATTGATAAAAGGTAAGAATATCGATGTCAATAGACCAGGTTTGAGTTAGAATTAATCTAAATTAAAACAAATTTGAACAAATTGGACAGTCTAAACATTGAACTGGACCGATGCAAAATGGTCCAAAATATTCGTTGGATTGGAGCAAATCCAATCTGATTGACCCCTATTAATGTATATAAAGCCTATATCACAATGTAACATATTCTTGTACTAGTTTTAGTGGATCCTTACTCAGTTCATGCTCAAAAATTATTATAGGTCCATTTAGATAAGTTTTTGTTGAGCCTTGAGCTGTGAAAAATAAGATTGAACGAAAAAGTGTTTGGAATATTCAGTAAGAACTGCTTTTTTAAAATATTATAATCTAAAGCCAAAATATTTGGACTCCAAAACACAAAATCGGAACTTTTCTTTTGAGCTGGGCTCTAAAAGTACAAATGTGAAGCTTATCCAAACGAAAACTTTAGGGCTGTTTTGGTTTGTGGGAATAGGGTTTGTAATTGGAATCCAAATAGGCCCTTTTTTATTCCAACTGTTTGATGGGTGGAATTGGAATCCTATTCCTATTTCAGATAGAATCACATTTTCGTATTTATGGGAATAGTCATTCTATTCCCTTTCCGTGGGAATGAAATCCCATTTCAACTGTTTTCAATTCTTATTTCGATTCGTGATTGAACCAAACAGACTGAAAATAGACTATTCCGATAATTCAAAAGGATTTCAATTTCGATTCTGATTTTAAGTTCGATTACAAACCAAACGGACAAGCCATTACTTATACAATAATAGTTTGATGACAATTCAATTGCAAAACGACAAGCCTTTACTTATACAATAATATAAATCAATCACTGAATTGATAACATTTTCTAAGAATATATGCATATGATGAAAGGGGTTGGACTCACATCCACATTACACTTGGAACTCACCGTCCAATCACCACCGATATGGAGGTGGAATGGGGCTACAGTGATATTGAATCATTGATTAGATTAAGAAGTGTTGAAAGTCATTAGAAATGCCTGGAGGATTGTGGGACCGGATCCCACGATTGTCACCTACCCACAATATAATTTGGCTTTTGCGTTTTGACCAAAGAAAAAAAAAATAGATGACATCAGACTACTCATATTTGTGGCGAGAAAGCTTTCTCCTGCTTGATGAAAATATTAACAGATTTGAGGTCATAAGCTTTTCAGGTTGTCCTATTCAAGCCCACTTACCACAAATTGGTCGACTATTAGTTACGAGTTAAGCAGTTGTCCTTATGCTCATACCTCATAATAATGCGTATAAAATCAAAACCGGACGGTGGGTCGGCAACCAATCTTACGGCCTAAACCCTGTGGGCCCCATGGTCGGCGCCGGCTATGGCCCATCCGGCCAAACAATCCACACTCCCCTAACCTTAACGTGCATTGTTTTATATATAAACCATGACACACAGGCCATGAGTCACACCAGTCGATCGATCTTCTCATAAACTACAAGCTGATCGATCTCCTCTATTCCGGCTAGTATCTCCAGTCTCCCTCGAGCCTTGAGAAAAATGGTGAAGATATCGTTGGGAAGCTTGTCTGACTCATTTGCTGTTGGTTCTCTCAAGACTTATCTCGCAGAGTTCATCGCCACCCTCCTTTTCGTGTTCGCCGGCGTCGGATCGGCGATTTCTTACAGTAAGTATCTGGTCGTATCAACTATCAACAAGGGTTTGCCTTGTGGGAGTGGTTGTTGTTTGGTCACAACGTTTCAATGTGGAATGACAATGACAATGACAATTTCTGCTTGCAGGTAAGCTCACCTCGGATGCTTCGTTGGACCCTCCTGGCCTTGTAGCCATAGCCGTGGCTCATGCCTTTGCGTTGTTCGTGGGAGTCTCCATGGCAGCCAACATCTCAGGTGGCCACTTGAACCCAGCTGTCACCTTTGGATTGGCCATTGGAGGCAACATCACCGTCCTGACTGGCATCCTCTACTGGGTTGCACAATTGCTTGGCTCCATCGTCGCCTGCCTCCTCCTCCACTTTGTCACCAACGGCAAGGTAATTTGATCATTTGATATGTAATGGAATCCCAACTGACGGGTTGGTCGGTCTGGGAGCAACTTGGGCGGGCCCAACCTGAGCCTGGACCGATCTAACCAGAAAATTTACACGGATTGCACTTGGATTTTTCAATTCTCGAACTTTTTTTTTATTTTTTGGGCCGGGCCTAAGCATAACTGGTAGGGAACTTGAATCCGGCCCAAATCCATCCCAACTATATATATATATATATATAGGATATATACATGTGTAATTTTAGAGTGGGTTGACTGATCAACCCGAGCCCCACCCAAATGCTTCAAATTATAGTGTAAACAGGGCTCAGGTTGGGAAGATCTGGGCTTGATCTGAAACCAGCCAACCTTTACTCAAATCTTAGGATTGGGCCTGAGTCGATAATAAACCCAGCTCAGCCTGCCCAATTTGAACCCCCTAAGTCCTATGTGAATCCAACCCATGGTTTTTCTTACCCCGGTTCTGTTGTTCCGGTTGTTGACAGTCAATTCCGACTCACAGCGTTGCATCGGGGATGTCTGCCATCGAGGGTGTAGTGATGGAGATAATTATAACCTTTGCACTGGTGTACACCGTCTATGCCACCGCCGCTGACCCGAAGAAAGGCTCACTTGGGACAATAGCTCCTATTGCAATTGGGTTCATCGTTGGCGCGAATATCCTGGCAGCCGGTCCCTTCAGTGGTGGATCAATGAACCCGGCTCGATCTTTTGGACCGGCAGTGGTCAGCGGAGACTTCTCCCAGAACTGGATCTACTGGGTGGGCCCACTCATCGGGGGTGGCTTGGCCGGTTTGATTTACGGTGACGTCTTCATCGGGTCATACACCTCACTCCCGGTCTCCGAGGACTATGCTTAAGCCTTGGAAGGGCAACGAGAGAACAATGAAGTAGAAATACTCCTGGGTTTTTTAGTATGGGAGTTCCTTACTGGGTGGAATAAGAAGTGTGGATATGTCTGTTTGTTTCTATCCTTGTCTCATTGTATGCGCAAATGTGTGATTATTTTCTAGTGTATTTGACTATTTGTTGTGAAAATGAATGGACTTGCGGGTCGGACCGCTTCGTGATGCAACGCTTTTACTGCTCCACATCATGGGAGAGAAGTGTGGTTATTTCTGCTATCTACGAACCCGATAACAATTGAACAACCCATGATTCCATGTGACGATTCCTTTAATATTGGATCCATTGCCGCATATACAGTGACCAACATCAAGATCAGACGTGCCAATGCCATGGTGATTGGTGGAGCCCAGCAACTGAGCCACCCAGTAGCAAATGCCATTTAAGATGCTGATATACCCTTCTGTGGGTTTTCTTATTTGTTCTCTACTCCTCACAGAGAATACGGATCTGCTCCTCCAAAGCGCTCCTCACACCACGTCCCACCTGTGCACATTGGAAATATCTCCCGTAGTTGGAGTTGTTACTCATGGAATGCATGGTGCATGGCATGTGCTGTGAATTTGGTGTGAGGTGGCGCTTGGTGATGACCTGACATCCATTTTATAGCACATTGCTGCTGTACATCTGGAACATTTTCTTAGTTTAGTATTTCATTCATGGGGTGGGATAGGATCTGCTACCAACACATGTTCCCATGACTGTCCCAACCGGCCACTGCAGTTGCACATTGAGAATATCTCCCGGACTCTGATCTGCTGCTCACTACTTGTTCCCACATCCTTACACACGGGACATATAGTAGTGGGTAGCAGATCTGGAGGCCTCCCTTGTCATACATGAGGAGGAGATATTTGTAATGACTGGTTGGGTTTTGGGACAGTGTGGAGAGCGTTTCTTGGTAGTACATGTAAGAGGATTCAAGAGGAAGAGAGAGACCCGGATTCCCTGTAGCCCTGGGCACACATGGGTCTCATGTCTTTATATTTTAAACTTCTGCTCGACACTAATTTGCCCCTGTTCAGGATCCGGTTGCTGAATGCCAAAGCGTAGAAGTTTGGACTTGAGTTTTCAATATTATCTAAAGCGGCTATAAGCTTTTATTTATTCATTAAAATTCATACCCTGCTGGTGTTGGCAATATTCTTTATCCTAATTCCACTAACAAATCTAAATCCATCAAGATGACCCGAATTCGATCTGTTTCAATATGGATCCACCCATTACAATGGATCCTATTTTAATACCAAAATAGAAATGGCTGAATATTGTTGTAGTCTGCATAAACATTATCATCAATTTGTCTTCATATTAGATCAGCTAATTAAAGAAATTTCGGGGCTTAAAAAAACAAAAAGAAATTTCTGTTACATGCATGTGTCATCTAGTTATACCCCACAACTACCTCCACCACACCATGAGATGAATCCGAAGGAAGCTGAGGAGGGAACATCACATTGTCATAGACAAGGCCAGCAATCGCTGCCCCGATCAAGGGTCCGACCCAATAAACCCCTTGGTTCTTGAAATTCCCACTAATGAGAGCTGACCCGAATGAACACACCGGGTTCATGGATCCACCCGTGAACGGTCCCGCGGCCAAAACATTGGCTCCCACAACTAACCCGATCGCAACGGGGCCGATGACACCAAAAGAACCTCTCCTCGGGTCTCCGGCAGCGTAGACCGTGTATACCAAAGCAAACGTTATCACACTCTCCACCACAGCTCCTCCGAAACCGGTCATCTCCTCCGCTATCGCATGGTTCGGAATCGCCTGCAACAACCACCAATTAATCCTCTTTTTCCCTCTTGAGAAAGGATCGGAGATGGCTATCTATCTAATATTAGATTTGTATATAGAAGAAAACTTTACTCACTTGTCCGGCGGTAGCCACCCTCAGGAGCAGACATGCCATGGTGGAAGCCAGCAACTGTGCAACCCAGTAGAACATGGCTGTCAAGACGCTGATGCGCCCGCAAACGGCCATCCCAAAGGTCACAGCGGGATTCACGTGGCCCCCTGAGATGTTAGCAGAGATGTAAACTGTTGACGATAGTGCAAATGCATTAGCAACGGCGATGGCCACCAGAGCAGAGGGAGAGGACGACGCATCCGGCATTAGCTTGCCTGTTAACAAGAAATAACAAATCGATTCAAATTAGTTTGGCTTTCTAGTTGTGTTGTCTGTGATTAGCGAGGAATGGTAAAGCAAGAGTACTGAAAGACTCACGGGAAGACATGGAGGAACCGACAGAAGCGAAGATAAAGAGGAATGTGGAGATGAACTCTGCTAGATATGATCGGAGGGCAGCAGGAGTTACAGACTGCCGGAGACAGGCGCCTAGCATCGTCGAAGCCATTTTTATGTTTTATGGGTTAAGAAATGAATAAATCTGGAAGGAATCACGATTAATGTAATGGGAGATTCTTAAACTGGAAGGAAGAAAGGAAGGAATCAGAGTCGGTGAATGTAATTGGAGATTCTTCTGTTGGTTTATCAGTGCGAGGCCGAGGAACTGAGGATTGAGGAGAGTGTTTATATAGAACACCCAAGATTGTGAAACAAAGGGGCGCGACGCTCTCTAGAGTCCGAAGCACAGGTTCATGAATTCAGATTTTAACTGCCAAAGTGACGTGGCAACTTTAGTCGTTAGTCGTTAGTTTTTAGAAGAGCCGTTTGGCAGGCAGGCGCCTTTTGAAATTGCGCATGTTATCCCTCTCGACCCCGCCATGTACAATGGGCTACGAAGCCCAATCAGGAATGAACACGTCAGTGATCCGTATAGTTCCCAGATCACGTTAAATGAGTACTTAATAAATATTTTAATAGTTGTAAAAAGTGTTCGTTTAACATGTTTACAACGTCGTGCGGCTCGTGCCTACCTGGCTTGGGGTGCTCAAGTTCCGACAGTGTCTGTCGCATGGTTAAAACAGTAAGGGGTTATTGCCGATAAGGGGAATTTTGGCCCTTAATATCAATATAAATAAATTTTAATATAATATTCCGAATAGACTACATTTTTTGAAAAAATATCAAATAAGGAAAAGAAAAACTGTTCACCTCTTTCCTCCTCCGAATGGTGAACAAAGGTGACAAACCTTCCCCACCTCAGAGTATGCTCCCACCAAGTAATTTGGTGGTTCCATAGAAAATAAATAAACCCATATTAGCATTTTGGTGTTAGTGAGTTCTGTGAAAAAAATAGTTCCCGAGTGGTTCATTTACTTTGGTAAATAATAACCTCCTGAAATTTTGAATAAATTACTTATCCATTTGTGCTGAAAATTGTTAATATGTGATGGGATAATATTGTTATTTCAATAATGTCACTTTTGTTTTGGATAAAACAGTCACTGTACAACTTTATCTAAAGAATAAAAGAACACTAATAAATACACTTATTAAGTGTTAATAATAAATGCATTTATCCAGGTAAATGACTTATGGAGACATGGACAAGGCTTCATCACAAAACTTGTGCCCAGATGTCCTCACAACCCTTACAGCCATGCATTGAGAATATCTCCCCATGAATAGAAAAATATAAATAAGATGTTCCTAATGCACGGCTGCAAGGACTGTGAGGGTGGTGTAAGGACAGATTTTGTTTGGACAAAATCTGAACTCCTATATTGTTCTCCTGCCTAGTCGTTGAATGTGGTGCGTGTGCAACTTAGGGATGCAACTTGGTCAGCCCAACCTGAGTTTTTTGTTTGGGTTGGGTCTGAGTTTTTGGGCTTCAAAATAATTAACGGGCCAGTAAATTTGGGCCTGACTTAAATTTAGGTTGGGCTTAGGTGAGGATAATTCTGTGAGGACCAAATCTATATCAGCTTAAGTTGACACCTTGGGTAATCTGAGCCTGGCTGACCCAGTAAAATATGCATGTGCATAAGTCTGAAATCTGTATATACATTTGTAAATGAAATTTGCACTTCAATTCTACTTTTAAATTGGGTCATAAATCCTAATAAAAGATAATTATACAGAAATACATTTATAATTCTTTAAAACCCACCCAAGTCCGGATAAGACCCACCTGACCCACCCCAAGCTCGAGCCTAGTCTGAGTTATGACAAAGCGGACCATCTGGACCCGTGGGGGGAATGCTAAAGCTGAGAGGAATGGAGTAGCCTACGTAATCAGGGGAAAAAGAGGGGCTTTAGTGGGATGGATTCCTGGTTTTTCTGATATGTTTGGCTCTGGTTAAAGAGTCGGAAACAAAATGGTGCCCTTTTGTCATGGATCTAGAGATAGGTTGTTCTTTAATGATGAGAGGGGGATTGTAACGGTGATGGTTTTGACATATGGTAATGAACAAATGAAGGAGAAGGGGGAGATGAAAAAGGAGAAACAAGAAAGGTGAGGATGAAGAAGCCATAGTTTTTTCGTGCAGAAAGGAATCGATAGAGAAATTGAAACTTAGAACAAGGAGAAAATGAGCATATCCGTGCATTAACTGCTCCTTTTGTTTTGTATTACAGGAGAATCAAATTGAAACATGAATGATAATATAAAGTAAGGCACAGCAGTGCCTAGAAATAGCAGAAAGATGCAACCTGTAGGATAAAGCAATCTTGTGCTTTTAACTTGGCCAAATAAAGTGAACGACCTCAAGTTCTAACTTGACCATAGGAGTTGCAGAGAAACAGTAATCTCGTTCATCAGCTTCTCCGTTTTCTACTTACGCGTCTCTCTCGTGCTTATAAAAATTGCTCACTGTCACATGTATGAAGTTAGAACCCGTGCCAAGCTGACATGATTGGGAGTGCAGAAAAATGTGCATGACCGAGAGTACAGGTTATCCGGATTCGGATCAGATAGTGGAATGGCTAGCGATGATTCACAAACCGCCCTCAAACGATTAGTCATTAGACTCGTAACTCGAGCTGCCTTCGAAATTTGAGCGATCCACAAAGTCTATCCATTAAAGTATTAAATGATTAGAATCATCAGATGCTGGCTTTGAAATTTGTAGAATCCGAAACAAACCAATCAACATAGGCTGCATTAACTAAACATTTACTACTTTTCAGAACTCTTTATGGCTCCCCCCAAGATAAGGAGAAACATCACGCTTCAACTCAAGACAAATGAGAACAAAGAGGCGAGACTCCAAGGTGAAATATGTTGTTACTAGTAGTGTTTGAACTATGTTACTAGTATAACATAAACTAGTGAAAGGAAAAGGTTTCGAGATACTGATGCAAGTGTCTAATGGATCATGACACTATAACAAAAGTAATCCTACTACCTATAATCTCCTCCAACCCAGCAAAAAAATACTGTAATTTTGTTCGTCCAGCAAAAACCATCGCCAAATACGGAAATACCACAACCATACTACGTACCATCCATTCCAGAAAACAGACAAGCTCCTGCTACCCAGAAAGAAGGGAAAAAGACCCAATTAGAAACCATTTAATTCTTAGACATAATGCTAAAGAGTGTAATAGTGAAATGCAGAGGAAAAGGATGAAGCAGCAAACCTCAATGTTCTGTTTAACGAGCAATAGAATAGCAGTGGCGAGTGCAATTGACTCGCATACCCGGTGCAGTCGTTTAGAGTTTCCTTCTGCACCAGCATTGAGTAAGGGTTGATTGATTGCTAATCAGAATCGTAAATTTCTCCATCATCAGAAATCTCATCAAATGACCTCATGTCAAGCTGGTAGCGAAGGATTCCCCCAATACCACCAAATCCCCTGCAGAATTGAGACCCTTCTTGTGATTTGTTGGTAACAAACTCAAGACTGCAACCAAATCTTTTGTACTCGTTAGCAAACCACTCAAGTAGTGACATCTTCTCCTGAACCTCCAATTCTGCACCAGTGGCTTGATCCCGGAAGTTATTTTGATCAGCCTCTTGATCCTTGTTCAGGTGCTTTATGACGATCTCACCAGTGGAGCTATTTTTTAGGGTATACCTGTTAATGTCCAGACTTTCCCACACAATAAGTGTTTCAACAGCACCCATTTCAAGTGCTTTCAGTGTGTCATCCACACCAAAAACATACTTCCCGGTATCCTGGCTGATTTCTTCAAAGTACTTCCCAATCAAGCGCTTCTCCTGAATGAACTTAACATTGGATAGGATCTCAGAGGATAGTTCAATTGCCTGATTGAACCCATTCTCCCCTCCATAAGAAACATCAACCACATTAAGTATCTTGGCCTGGAGACGGGGATCAAACATATCTGACTGGCTCAGCTCTGTCTTGAAGTCAGCTGACCCAGCCAGTATTAACCCTGCAACATTTGGCTGGCTGGTAGCTGGATTGATGAAGAATTGTGTGGCAAGCTCAGCTGTCTTTCTCACATAGTTGTGCCGTTTCTCCATACGAAGACGGGCAAAACGCAGAGCAGACTGTCCTCCTCTTCCGTGTTTTTTTGGGAGATCAACAGTGAATTTGTGGAGAACCTCACGTGTGTTTCCACTTAATGTCCCAAAAAGGGTCCCATTTCCATCCATGACTATAAACCCAAATTTATCATCAGATTCCAGGAGTTCATTCAAGGCCTCAGTGTGGAACTTATTATCACAGAGGTAGAGTGATGCGTTTATGGGCTTGAAAGGCTCAAAGTCAATTGTTACCTTTTTTTCCTTCCCATCTTCAGTAACAATTGTTCCAGTGTACAGAACCAATCCATTTGGTGGAACCTTATTATAAAGCTTCAGCCTCTGCTGAGCAGAGGTAATGGCGCCCAATACTGACTGGCGGTTAACCCTACTTTTGATGTTTGAAGCAGTTCCAAATTCATCACCCAACATCTTAGTAACTCGAGATATTTGATCACGTGGGGGCATAATAAGTGAGATCATGCTGGTACCATTACCTCTTGCAGCTTCCAGTGCCTTGATCAATTTCTTGATCTTCCATATCTCAATATTCTTATCAGTTTCATGACCATCAGCCATTTTAATTGGTAAGCACTAGAAAAAACAAGACAAGGAGCTGCAAGCACAAACATATAATCAATTCAAGTTGCATGTTACAAAGCCTACACACATGAATAAAGAGAACCAGAGAAAATTACACTGGAAGGCAGGAAAAAAATTTACGACATATTTCAACTAATCATACTATGACATACTTTTTTTTTGATCAATCATACTATGACATACTTCAACCCTAAACATTCTGATCTATGAGGAACAAGCAGGATCAGACAAAAATAATTTAATTTTGGAATCAAATGGAGCCTAAGCAAGGTTGAAAGTATCGATATGATACGCCCCGTATCGAGTATATCGAATCATATCTTTTGGGTACCAAAACACCTGTTTACATGTGGTTTCCGGAACCCCTTTTTTAATTAAAAATACATATAAAAATATATATAAAAACCAACTTTTGAAAAAAAAATTAAAAAATATAAAAGCACAAGGTTTAGTACCAATACACCTCTGCTGATACACAGAGTTGCATCAATACTTTGAACCTTGAGCCCAAGGAATAGAGCATCAGGGAGAAGGCCTCGTTTCAGCCAAAGCAGGCTTTTACTATTTACTTTGTACTGTGAAACCCATTTAGTAAAATGAGTTTGCAGACCATGCTTTTCACTATGAAAAGCATGGATAAGTATGTGGATAGAGTAATTCACTTCCATGCTTTGACATTAGACCAACTATTCAACAATGCAATTTGGAAGTCTCTAAAGGACACATGGCTACATCAAATGTGTTATGTGGCATACATGTGATATGGTAGTATGGTACTATTTTTATACTTCCAAAATGTGACATGTCATTCACAAGTTTGCCACAGCCCACAGAGCATCAATAGTTACGCCACATTGCATGCAACTATGCTTTTTCCTACTTATTGATCTTTCTGCCATGTAGCATCTCATCGAGGAATAGAAAGGGTAGAAGACAAACAAAAAAAGGTAGCATGTGAGAAACAAATGACTTCTTAAAATCAAAAGTAAAAATGCTGACGAAAGCTCAAAACCAGAAATTCTAACTTCATTTTTTATGCTTTAATGTACTACTTTTACCAACATATACTTTTGAATATAGGCACATCCAAATGCCAAATGTACTTTCAAACTATGTTTTACTTTCAAAAATACAAAAATACTTTAAAAAGGTCTTTCCAAATAGTATCCAAGATTACCACATTGCAAAAGCATGGGCTTCTCCTGGGTCCTAAACTACTACAACAAGGCAAAAATTTTGATCTCTATATCTAAAATCTGAGCTTTGCTGACTACTAAAGAATAAATTTTATAGTAAACAGAAATAGAGAAAAGATTCAAGAATAAAATAAAAATGTCTAAAGATTCACTTTTTAAGTTTCAGTCGCTCTTTCTTCAATAAGTGAGTTACTATAGGATTTTCCATCCTTGTCCTCATCCTCATTATCAATTATCATCACCATCTAACCCTTATTCCAACCATATGGGGTTGTCTAGATGAATCCTGTTTTACTATTCCATTCTGTTTAATGTCATTGAAATTGTTAAAGAATGAGAGCTTAAATCATTTCTTACTACTTCAACCCATCCCCTTTTTAGTCTGACCTTAACCCTTTTTGCCCCTTCAACCTGCAACAGATCACTTTTTCTTACATGGCTCAGTACATTTCCAAGACCAGAAATCAGTGTCTCTAGTTAACCATCAATAAATGTTAACGGTAATGGTCATTGAGAATCTGATCAAAAGGCCTTCTTTTGGTAAAGGTGGAAGGTTTCAATCAACCAAATGACCAATGCTGTAATACTTGGATCAAACTGGGCAGTACGACTGTCAGACTAGAGAACTGGAGGGAATTTTGGTTTTTAAATTCCGGTTTTTAGTTTTTTTCCAAGAGACAGTCTGATCCACTGTTAACCGAGCCAAACTGTTTAAAACCAGCTAGATTTTAGTTACCTAACCAGCTTTCAACGACCCACCCACCCAGGTAACTGCTTCATCATACATTGTAAAATGATAATGAAGGGAATTGAGCTCACCTCCTGTTTACAAAGAATTGCATATTACCATTAATCCACAACATCATTTGTGTTTATTTTTTGCTTCTTTAATGCTCATGCAAGACTTGAACCTGAATCACTTGAATGAAGATTAGGAAAAAAGGTGGCTACAAAGATGATTCACATGTTAAAGTATATAAGATATTATATACATGTGTGTGTGTGACATAATGGGTCACTGGGTCAACCCAATGGTTGAACTGCTGACCCACGACCAAGTAGCCTTTCCTGTTTGATGAACAGTCCAAGTCTTACAACATTGCTAAACATGAATCTATAAGCTAGTGCTTTTGGATGCCTGATGGATCATCCGCATGTCTTTACGCATCTGCATATAGTTGCATGTGTTGAGGATGGTTTATGAAAGGCCTAGGCCTTCAATCCTAATGTTATACAATAGATCCAGTTTAGAACTCCTATATCCAATGGAGAGAAAGCAAAAACCTCCAGAAGCTACTGTGCTGTGTCTGTTAACAGGTCTCCATCTCTCATAAACTGTGCTTGCCTTGGCTCTTGATGGGAAAATGAGAGTTAAAGACAAAGTATTACAGAGGGAAAATTATGGCACCATAAGTTTTTACATTTTCTTGGCATACTGAAGGTCATGTGCAATCTCTTCCAGTTCTCAATAAATATTCACATCAAATAAATCTAATTAAAAACCTAAATAAAGTATCATATTGGAACCAAGAAACCACATTACCATTGCAATATGCTCTTTTCGGGGTATCATCATAATATAGTCCTTTATGCACGACACTTTAACATTAATTTTTAGCTTCTGAACTACTAGCAATCAAAGGTTATATTTCTTTAAAAGCTAGTATAATCTAACTTTCTTAATTCAAGGAATATGTAATGTACAATATGTTGAAGCCATCTAGTAGGTAAAAACAAACACAACCCATGCATCTAAAATTTATTCTTAGCTTAAAAAAAGCATAAATCCAAATCTTACAGTTGAGGCACTACCTCATATTCCAATCATCATAGAAGTGGAGATTAATTAAATTGTCTTAAAGAATTATAAAAATTAAAGGCTCAACATGCATGAAATAAATAAACAATAACAAATTAGAAACACATACTCAAAAGTAAAATTTTTCAAAACCCCAGAAGATCATACAAAGTAGTGCATAACTTTTAAGTTTCATCAACTAGCAGATAACTAATGCAAGCCTTTTGAACTAGTCTCATAAGTAAACACCTGTTCACATGGCAACTCATAGATAGAAAAAAAGAAAGGAGGAAAAAAATAACTAGTTGAGTGTTACTTGTTCAGACCTTGACCAGGTCTGAGCTTCCCAAGTCTCTCTATGCTGTTAGGGAAATCTGCAAGGGTCCTACCACCTTAATGATTGGTAGTTTTTTATATTCTGGGATGCTCTGAATAATATTCTGCATTGAGGATTTGCACTTGTGGGCTCAGGTAAATATAACAGATCAGACCTGCTTGCTGAAACTTCCCTCCATAGCCAAGCGAAAGGTTTGGTACCACCCAACTGCATACTACACTTACTGTACCCTAATCCCCTGCCCATCCTTCTCAATCCATACTCCTAAATAGATTGGGATAGAATACCACCATTGACTATTCCCATTCCATCCTTTATAATCCCGGGGCCTTTCTGCAATGAGATATTCCAACTACAGAAGCATATTCATGCAGATCACTCTTCCACTTCTCTTCTTCAAATTTGTCTAATTAATGGTTACCACCATTAATATCAGGCAAAAGTATCTCCACATTATAAGTCAGACATAAAATTGTTTTCAGAAGGAGTCATTAATCATTATATGGTATAATGGTAACATCTCAGACTCTGAGGGCGGCCACTTTACGTGAAAAATTGCCAATGGTTAGGACCATAATAAGTCTACCCTTCCCAAGACCCCTGATAACTAGGACCAACATTTGGGTAATGGCCCTTTATATAATTTTTTCAAAAATTCCCTTATGATTGATATATATTCTCAACAAAACCAGATTAAAGCCAATAAATACTTAATGATCAACAATCTTGAACAGTAATTCATTTAAAACAACATGCTTAAGCATTTGGTGGGGGGGAGGGGGGGCAGAGAGGGAGTGTGTGAGATTCAATAAAAAAATAAAATGGTAAGCAATACCATTGGGACTATGCTACTGAGATTATACTCTATTTATAAATAATAAAAGGCGAACATGACACCATAGCCCAAAACAAAAGCAGCAAGAAAATATTAGACCTAATTCAGAATAAATGATAACACTAAAAAATAGATAATAGAAAGACTAATAAAGTAATAATGCAAAAATCATAATGTAACGGGCAACATGAGCATATGAGTGTAGATCTGCGGTGAACAAAAACACTGTAAGCCAATGCTGAGTTGCTTATTGGCGTTGGGCAACTGGCCAGCTTCGTAGGACTTTGGAACCCATGCAACAGAAGGGTATTAATCGCTCATCTGGAGAGATGTCTTTAACTCATAAGAAACATAGCTTTGGCTTACAGCACCTGTGGACATCAGACCTGAGCTCTAAAAATACTGGTGTTTAGCATAGAAAAGTGGAAGTTGTAGATTACTGATAGAAACTAATTGGGAAATATATATATATATATAAGTGCAATAAACACGACTCAAATGAAACACCGATGAAGCAAAAATCCGCAACGGTTATAAGTACAAACATAGCAGTTATCCTACGGACGGAACCATCTTGTGTCAAGGAACAAATTCTCAAGTTCAATAATCATCACATGAAAATTATAAAAATCAACAATTCAAAAGTAGCACGTCCTTGAAGCATTAAAACCCCAAATCAACCAAACATGCGCGCACACAAACAGATGGTTTAAAAATGGTAAATTCCTCAAAGCGATCGAACCACAAATAAACTCCAAGACACTGACACGCAAACGCACCGAGTTAACCAGGAATCAGAAGCTCCAAGACAAAGACACGCAACGGTTGAGATCATAAACTAATCAAAACAAACCCTAGCTTACAAAAACAGGAATTGAAGCCAAATAGTAGATATATCACAAAACCAAACAACGGTAAAGACCTCAAACGCATATCCGCATAGATCAAGCTATTATAAACTAAAGACAGCTGATAACAAAACCTAAATTCTATAATCCATGTCGAGCAGATATCATCAGCTAGTCAAAAAGAAAAAAATAAATCTATAATTAGGGAAGAAGATATAGATATACCTGATCCGAGAGTTTCCGAGACTAGGGTTTTTCCTTTCAAGCGGTTAAGAGGAAACCCTAATCCAGAGATGCCTCTGAGGAAGAAGGTCCAAGGGGGAGATAAATACGGCCCGCACTGAATCTGTTCCCCTTGGTCTGTCACTCACTCTTGTCTAATTGCTTCCCTTCGGCTGATTGGAGGTATGGGGTATCTAGCCTGAGTCCAACTGTCCAATTTGTCTTGGCCTTTTGTTCCTCTCCTCACGAATAGACCCGATCCATCCTTTGGGTTGGGTGGGCTGCCACATTTTGGGCCTCTAAACGGGCCGGGCCAAAATATCCCAAGCCCCCCCCCCATTTGGGTAGGTGGACTGGAATTCTTTTAGGTGTTGGGCTAGTACTCATCTCCTCAATTCTGAATTGTCATGTCAGAATGCCCATTGGGCCTATCTTCTCCGAGAATCGTTGTTCTCACGTCAACCTCAATTCCGAAAGCATGCTGAGATCAAGTTTTAAAGTATTGGAGACGTTAATTCTATCAAAAGTAATTTTAAGAGACTTATCAGGATACGTCTTGGATACATATGCATATCGAAAAAAAAAATTAAGATAGGCTTGGAAATATTATAAATACTTTAATAAAGCATAAAAATTGTATCAATAAAATTAAATATAAAACCCTAATATATTTTAATGGTTTTATGAAGAAATATATTATAGTTAATTATAATTTTATTAAATATCCCATGCTTAATTATAATTTATAACTTATAATCTTAAGTTTTAATGTTTTATGGAATGGAAAAACCCAACTCACCTATCCAACCATAAAATATGCATTGACACAACTTTTAAGTGAAAATATAATTAATAATTATTTATTATTTAAATAATTTTTATTTATTATTTATTTCCAAAAATTATAAAAAATAAATAAACATTATATAATATATTCAAAAAATAGTTATTAAAGAAGAAATTTCAATTGTTTTGTGGATATGATAGATGATCCATAGAATTATAATATATTCAATCATTGTGATCAAATGATAAAATATAACTAATTAATTATTTTTTTAAATTCTAAAAATATAAAAAAAAATTATTATTAAGGAAGGAATTTCAATTGGTCTGCGGATATAATAGATCATCTATAGAATTATAATATATTCAATTGTTCTGACCGAATGATAAAATATAATTAATTATTATTTCTTTTTTAATTCTAAAAATATAAAAAATCAAAAAAATATTAAAGGAAATTTTCAATTGCTCAATGGATATGATAGATAAATCCATAGATCTAAAAGATATTTAGTCTTTATAAGCAAAGAAAAAAATTACATTTTCAAATTTTTTGTTAATTTATATTTTCTCCAAATATCTTCATGAAATCTCCAAAAATCTATTGATAATACAAAAAAAAAATGTGATTTTGAGTGTATGAAATGTAGATCAACATTCAAGAAAAAAAAAAGAAATCACAAGATATTATAAAAAATTAAAAAAGTTACCTATTTTTGTCATATTTTTCAAAATTTGAAAAATCTTCAAAAAAAATTAACGATTCACACTTATTTCTTGCAAATTTTTGCAAATCTAGCACTCTAGGAATAAGGTTTGGGGTTTCAGTCATTTTATAGTGAAAGAAGACTTATTTTAGGGAAAAGAAGCTTGATTTCCCCTTTTATTTTTTTTCAGTTTTTTGTCGTATCTTCTTCATTGATACGCTACCGATACACCCCCAATATGGGTCCGATACACATGAAAAAAGACGAGACACTCAATTTTTGTGTGTATCCTGTATCTATTTTTCAAAGATACAATATGATACACCCAATACGGGGCGTATCGTATCGAAATTTTAAACCTTGGCTGAGATGTGTTGTGAGGTTAGCGTAAAGAGCATTTGGGAGATGAGATTCGGATTATTTGGGATCTGCAAACCACAAATTGTTACCACTATATCCCTACCCACATAACACCACCATCATGTATTAGGAACATCTACTCATGAATGACAAGGGAGATGTTTATGCATAGGTATAAATACATATTTTATCAACAAATAATGTATAATTATATTCTACATGTAATATATGCATTATTTTATATTTAACTAATATTTTTTTATTTTTTTATTTATAAAAAAGTGCTAAAAATGCAAATTGAGACAAAAAAATGAGGTTTTTGCAAAAAATAGTAGGGCAAGGCACCTTGGGAAGCATAGATTTCAAAAAGTTACCCAAAATTAGAAAAAAAAAGACTACTTCAATTAGACATTGGAGTGCAAAGTTATGGTCTTCAGAAGTTTACGTACACATTTAGCATGCAACCCATGACCAGGTCACTATGTCAGATGATTTTTGACTAGGTCAACAATTTTTTACCGAAATCTTAGATTTTAGTAGAACTAGACTCAAAATCATGGAAAGGTGACGGTTCTAATGATTCAACCAACCGGGATAATGGTGGGTTCAAAACACTAATGCAAGTCAAGTTGACAATTTGAAGAATTTCAATTACATCGGGTTCAGGTCACATTTTGGGTGCATTGAAATTTTAACAATATCTCAACCCAATCTAAGTTGCACTTCTACACTACTTTATATGTCAAGCTTTGGAGGCCCTTGGTATGGTGTCATTGCATTTTGGGTTGATCAATACAATTTTGTATGAGAGAGATTTTTCTACAAAAAACATTTTAAATTCATCAATACAAATTGTTATTTCTATCTAAAATTAAACTAAAACATCAAATTTGATGTTTCCCGCACATGTATTTTTCTAGTTGAAACAACATTTATGAGGCAATACACGCCTGAAAGTATATATATATATACTTTCAAATAATGGGAAAATTATCTAAAGCCTCGCCCTCACTGTATTCATGAAGTCTAAAACTTATCGTTACTTTTAGATATATACTAAATCTCCAATGACCCCCCTGCCAGATATATACCAATAAATTGCCCACAAAAATACAAAATTATTATTGGTGTACCAATTCAAACATGTTTTCTAATATATCTGCAACACCTTAAATGGCCGAAGAGACCCAATAGCTCATATATATGGTCAGTCAGCGTCCCTTCATGGTGGTAACAACTTTTAGGCTCCATAGTAGTAAGGTCAGCAGAACTCAAATGTACCCTGCTCCGAAGAAAAATACACTTATGCTCAGTTTGGAAAGAGGGCAAATGCAAATACGTACAGTGCAAAGCTTTATATTTTATATTTCTAAACCTTTATTTGTATTGTACATATTTGGAAGCAGTATAAATATAAATACATAGTGTAAAATCACGTATTTTGTATGTATTTGCATAGTATACATTTGTGTTTGTATTCCTTTCAAACTGAGCCTTATAAATCAAAACTCAAAACAGAATTAAACAAGAAGTTATATTCTTTTCATTTGCACTTCCATATATTTGTACTAGTTCAAATAAAATTGCACTGCAACCAAACACAGCCTATGGATGATCTATAAATGAAAAAAATGGTAAATTGTTTAAACCTCTCCTGAAGTTTCTGACTGTTGCTAAAACCTCTCCTGAAGTTTAGTAACTGCAACCACTTTTCCTAAACTTTCTGATATAGTTGCAAGTAGAGATCCTCTGATAGAATCCTCTAATAAGAAGTACAAAAATGTCAAAAATATAGTGATTGATATAAAGGGCAAATTTGAAGAATAAAATCAATTTTGTAAAAAAAAAAAAGATTGAAAGGGTTTGGAATAGCGATTGTTATGAAGAGAAATTTTGAAAAAATAAACATTTTAGTCAAAATTAACTATTTCATGCCTCTCGTCAGAGATAAGGGTATCAATGGACTAGTTTTGGATTGGAACCCATCCAGTCCAAAATCAATTTGGACGGATTGGACGGACCAACAAGACATATTGGATTGGACCAAGGTTCAAAATATTGATATGCCCAATACATCGGTAGAGGTGTATCGGGCGGTATCTATAGTTTTTTAGTTTTTTTTTCAAATCCGGTTCAGAAGGACTGGTTTAAGGTCTGTCCACCCCCTAAACCAGTTAAAACCCCAATGCACCATTTGTATGGATGTACTAAGAAGATCCCAATACGATACGTATCAACCAATACAAGCCAAAATGTGTCGATATTTTGAACCTTGGATTGGACCAATCTGGTCCAAAGTATTTATTAGATTAGATTAGACTTGGTCCATCCATAATAAATTTATATTGAATTGGGTTGGATTAAGCCAATATCTGATCCATTTATATAAGATAAGAATATAGGTGTCAATGGACCGGGCTTAGGTTGAAACCAATGTAAATTAAAACGAATTTGAACAGATTAACGATCAAAACATTAAATTGGAACTGTCCAAAATAGTCCAAAGTATTCATTGGATTGGATTGGACCAAATCTAGTCCAATTAACACCCCTAGTTAGAGATTCTAGCAAAGAGGGTCCACTTGTGATTATGTAAAAAAGTTCATAATGATTACAATTATCGAACTTAAGGGGTGGTTTCATCGAAGGGCAAAAACTTCAGAACGGGATCTGCTCCTCACACTTGGGTGCCTCACATGTACACACATGCACATTCACCGTGCATTGGGAATATCTCCCATGAAAAATAACTTGCAAGTACGGGAAATGTTCCCAATGCATGATAGGATGTGCGTGTGAGACGCCCTATGTGAGGAGCATATCTGGTCTCAAAAACTTCAAGAGATGTTGTAACAATTTATCCATAAAAAAAGAGATGGATGGGCTCCCTATTCTATTTGATTCAAACAAAAATGAGAATAAGAATTGGAATCAACATAAATGAGATTTTATTCCCAAGAGAAGGGCAGGGAATGGCCATTCCCTCAATTAAGGGAATGCCTTTCCAACAAGTAGGGCTGTTCACAGGTCGGGTTGGGTCGGTTTACTGGCGTTTTTCCAATTGACATGGTCGGTTTACCTAGAAATGAAACTAAAACCGACCCAGTACTAAATAAAACCGACCTGGTCGGTTTGAATCAGTTTGGGTCGGTTTTGTGAATGATTTTCTCGGTGTGAACGGTAAAAGATTCAAGTCTAAGAAAGCAAAGGCTGGATGCCTGGAAATTAAAAATGATTTGATAGATTTGAACTGATATTTTATATATCAGAAATTTTATATATAATATGTATATTTCTAAAATAAAGCTGAAATATATTATATATATATAATATATATCTAAGTTGGTTTGAA